TGCCGAGCAACTGGACAGAGTTAACACTAACTTGCTGTCTGTTATCAGCGTTGTAATGGCCATGGTATCATTCAGTCGAGATTTTATTATATGTAACCAGCCTTGCCTGTCGCCGGTCACCGTTACTAAACGCGGTTTGGACGCAGTATACAGAGGAACAGTGAAGTGGCCGTTCAGTGAGATTGGCTACATTGTGTGTACGTGTATTAGTAATGCTGTTTGGTAGTTGGAGCTTGTTGATAATGATAGTTGAAGCGCACATATAAGCATCCACACTACTGTTTTGTATACATGCCATCTCGCTAAACATTGTGTGCTTCAGGTTTGACGAACATGGAAGTCCCAAGGAGTCCAATCAAGTACATTTTGTATATATGGCATTCAAGTACACTTTTCGTGATTTGAACACCTGTACCTTTCAAAGATATCAATATTTCATGTTGGTGGGTTGACTATTTGCAAGGAGGAGTACATATGACGCACATTTTTACAAATTACGTTTGAAACTTGATAATGTTGACGCTCTAGTCGTAAAGTCTCAGGAATGTGGTTGTATATTTATACCTTGCTATCAATGTAACGTTAGTCATGGCGTATGCTCAATTTTTGTTTAACTTTCTCAGATTATGGAGACTTTGTACAAAACATGTCAAGCTTGAGCCTCCTGACAAAAACGTTTTTAAGTAGCTATATTTACTACTAGTCAGTCCAGCCAGTTCATTGAGATTTCGGCGAGAAAGACGTCACGGGAAACTAACCAATGGGAGCGCGCCAACCGCCGGAGGGTCCGTGTTGCTGCACCCAGCCTAGCCTGGGATCGAGCTGAATAACCCGAACAATCGAACAGCAAAAATGGTCGTTCATCATCTTTATCAGTGGTTCCTACTTTTAATGATCCACCGAAATTGTCATGAAAATGGTTGAATACACCCAAGCATAATCTATTGAAATCAAATCTGAAAGTTTCTCAGTAACATGATATATTAAACATTTCTGCCTCATCAGTATTGTACAATTTTTGTTTGGACTTTCTTATAAATCTTGCTCAGTATGTGTACCAAGGAGGATGTTCATTGGGTGGTCTCATGGGACCAAGCTCACAATATTTTGGAATCTTTTACTCGCAGTTCAAGTTGAACGTGCTTTGTGAATCTAGCACGAGTCATTTTTTCCACTTGCGCTATCTTTGCCAAAGTGAGTGCTTTATCATTGTCAACTGAAAAAAATCAGTGGTAGGAGAGTGACATGAAAAAGGTGTATTGCATTTTTTTTCCAATCGAAGGTCCTACAGAGAATCAATTTTGACATTTACTTACTTCCCTCTGTTATCTCTTTTCTCACTACGTTGGTATGATATATTATCTCTCCCCCATTTTGATCTTTCTGTTTGTTTATTTATCTTGTGTAGATCTGTGTACAGTCCTGTGTGTACGGTCGTTTATTGAGGTACCAATCGAACCCTACTTGTGGTGATCGGTTACGTGGTCAGTGGAAGAATCCATTGATGACGTAAGGAGGTCAGATATTTTTACTGTCTGTAGAACAGAAATATACAAAGATATGAAAAGAAGTGTGCGGATAAATTTTGAATTCTAATGAGTAGATAATAATCAAGGAAAAGGAACCAGTATATACAGATAAGGAGTCGAATTTATTTTACAGACTATGTCATGATCCCCGAAGTTGTGAGTGGACGAGTCCACCATAATTTTCTTCGATTGTGCGTGATTCGTTTAGTCCAGCCTGCAGCACAGCCCCCACCCGGCACCTACCGTCTGACAGACGGACTTCACCTCGGGTTTTCCTGCCGATCCTTGGAATTTCTCCTTCGATAACCCCGATTGGCCCGGCAGGAAGGTGTCACGTCTATGGAGTTGGAAAATATCGTCGCCAATACCGTTTACATCAAGGCTAGAGAAGGTAAGGGCGGTGCTGTGGTGCCGAGTCGACCCACAAGTAGCCATGTTTTTTCAACTGGCCATTTCGAGGACAGGTCGATGTGTTTATAAGCAAGCGACCACCAACAGGGGTTGCTTCTTATTTTCAGCGTTATTGTAGCAAGAATCGAACGGCATATGCACCTCTGACTGGATCCCTTATGCCACAATCGGTAAAATGTCACCTCGTGGACAAGGTTTGTGTGGGATCGTAATTAGTCTATCCCGTGTGCCGAAGCGAGGGTGGCTTCCAGCTTCCGCGCCACATTTTGTTACATTTTTCTGGCGCAGAGTTCCTGTGTACATGTGTGTTTCACATGTCAGCGCTTCCTCTGCACTTCAGTACTGAAGCCCTCCCAGAAACGTTCTTGTGGGGATGGCAGATGATATGATCGATCGCGTTCCTGCACCACGGCCAGAGGCGTGCCCTTTCTTGTGTGGCCTTGCACAGCACAGCTCAGATTGGGAAAAGGTGTGAAGTAGCCCGTAGATGCCCCCTGCTTCCCCCCTGTAGTTCAGCTACTACTACAAAATATTTAACCCAGACGACAAGGAAAATTTGTGGGTAATGTTCCAGATTAGATAATCTATGGAGTACGTTTTTGCACAGATCGATGTGAGCTGTGTCATGCCTGAATATTGTGCGACCACTCACAGGTTCACAGCTAAACATGTTTAATATGATCAGTCAATCTTTAAATTATTCTATCCCTTCCCCATCCATAATATCCTCAACATGTATAGGAAATCATTATGCAATCACGTAAACAAAAACAACAACAAGCTGAGACACAGTGTTAGAGATTAATAATACAAATTATGTATTTGCAACACATGCCCGAAGGCACATGTTAGTTGTGTGGCCTTGCAGAGCTTGATAGAATTTGACAAAACATGCAAAGCAGCACTAGATAGCCCCTACTTTGCTCATGTACCCCAGGGTGCCATGCTGTACCCCTGATTTGGTAGTGGACATCTTGCCTGAAAATGTTTATGTTTCGAATGTTAACTGCTGAACAGATTTTTTTAGATCTGGAGAAAGCAGGGAAATGTTTACACATTGATTTACGTGACACCAACACAAAGTCCAATCCCCTGCTAAAAGACCACACACAACAGTTCTCAAAACATTATGGAGAGACCCAGAAGTAGATAGGCTCAAATCTGCCGTGATTGAATGACGGGATTGATTTTGCCATCAGAACAGTCATTTTCCAAAATCATTGCCCCAAGCAGTTTTTGTCTGTGTGTTTTGCTTCATGAAAGAGTAGACCATACCTACTACTAGCCCCCCTCCCCACCTTTCAAGGACAGCATATGATGAGGTGAGGGCCTAGAGGTGGGGAGTTTGTAAACAATGCCATGATTTGACAGGGATTTTGAAAGCTGGGGATCCAGTGTCCACACCATGCTTTCCTCCTCCCCTGCTCCCCTCTTTTCAGGGGAAGAAAGCAAGGAAGTCAGTGTCATCAGAGCATGTGAGGCACATCAAATGTTGCAGCCATTGCAGGAGATGTTTGCACAGCGGTAGACACCCATTCACTGCAAATACGGCAATCTGCTTCTCCTGGACAAATACACTGCTGGTCAGAAGGTTTCTAATGTTGTGTGCTGCCTTGGTTTGTCCTCATTACTCCTTCTGGCAATTACCGTGGGCAGATCCAGAAAATCTGAGGGGTTTAGGGGATCTCATGTTGCTTTTGCTAAGTGTTTTGCTAGACTAGATGCACAGTCAGTAGGACACATTTCAGAAACGGCTTGAATCCCATGCTGCAAAAGGCAACTTCAGTGGTTCCAGATTTTGCATTAGTTTGTCTTTGCAACAAGCTCTGTGTTGTACAGAGTGAGCTCTGTTTTCTGTTACTTGTTACCAGCTCTATATCCTACTGTAAATTATGAAAGCTACATGGTTTTATTTTTGAGTTTTCGCAGTGACCTCTTGATGTAAAATCATGACACTGAATGTGTTTTGTATTTCTATTGTAATACAGAATTGTTTCAACCTTGAATTTTAAATACATGTACTGCCAATAACCTGCTTTTCCCTCATACTTTAAAAGTAGAACCACTGCAAAAGTTCATTATTTACAGTAGCAGTAGGTGTGTTGAACACTAATGAACAGTGAACCATGGTTTTAACTAAGTTGAAAGAAGGAAAGATTACCTGACTGTTGGCAGTTGCAAGATTTATCTTAAGATATGTCAATGAGATATGCACAACTTTCCTCAAGATATTCTTGTCTGCTATTTGATTTAACAGCTAGATTTACCCTATGCCTTACCTTAGACCTTAGTTCCTCCTGTGCCTGATGGCACATCGGGCAGCAAGCTTCCACTTCTTTTTGTCAGCAGTCCCTGACCTATGCAGGGTATTCAAAATTTACTTTTGGGGATATATGCCCTGCTACATGTACATATAGCCTAAAAATTCAGGTGCACTGAAAAATTTTGGGTTACACTATTACAGCATAAAATAAAGTAGATCTCAGCAAAACTAAATTACAAACCATACTGCATCTTGAGCTTGAGCCTGAAATTATATAATTGACTTCAAGATTTTTAACAAGGAATGGGTAATACAAGGTTTTATAATTTTTTCTGACAATTGAATGTCAAGTATACTCTGTATGCCATATGTATAGCAATAGTACCCTATACAAATATCTACACGTAAGTGCACCCCCAGTTAGAAATTAGGTGCACAGCTTTAATTTTGGGTGTACAAAAGTGGATGTGTACCCATTATTTCGAGTCCTGTCATGCCTGTAAGTGACTTGAGAATGCTAGAGTGCACCCAGCACTTTCAAAAAACACTTGAGTTACATTTTGGAAGAATAGCCAAAGAAGTCATATGATCCTGTTGCCTTTTTTATTTCTGGCAGCTAAGGTCTGTATGATAGGAGCAGTTAAGATTTTGATTTTGTAAATTAAAGAATAAGAAATATGGCAAGGCAATAAATTTGTTATACATTTTATATGTGTGTGTGCATGTGTGCGTGCGTGTGTGTGCGAGTGCATGCGTGTGTGCATATGTGTCAGTCATGACAATGACATGATGAAAATTAAAAAAGAAAAAAAATTTTAAGATTGTAACTAATAGTAATACATGTACAACGTATTTCCATAATTGGCATGGAACAGAAGCTTATATGTTTGAACTCGTCTTTGAATCTTTTGATATTTGAATCAGTTTGTCAACATGTATCCATTTGTTGTATCTTTCAGGTGGAGGAGGGAAACGAAAAGGGAAGAGTAAAAAATGGAAACTGATACTCAAATTCCCCCACATCACAGAGTGTGAATATCTACGAGACAAAATCGGTATGTATCCTCCTTCTTTCCTATCAGTGTCTACCAAGAAAAATTTTTGTGAGCCTAACTGAGTAAGACAGAAAGGGGAGAGCCATGGACAAAAACTTGACTAGGGGGAGGGCCATGAAAATTATCTTTTTTAACCCGACCTTGGATGACTGTCTCTTCCCTTGATAGATATTGTACAGTCCCTAATACATTATTCACTCCCACAGTAACTTGTCCTGTTGTCATTTGGAGACAATTAGATTGGATGAAAACTAATCAATTCAAGCTGTCGTAAAGTTTCAAAAAATTTGTAGACTATGTAACAAGTTATGCCTATACGTATGTTGCGTTATGTAAATTTCATGGTTGTACCTGAATGTATGAGTCTCGTAAAAATACTAGTATTTTTAGTATTGGAACGGTTTTGTTACCAATGTTGTTATGAATCACTTACATGTTTACTTTAGCTGCTGTAAGTGACAGAAAAGTTATTAAGAAATAGTCATTTTACAATGTCATATATTATGTAGATTAGGTGATTTTAATTGTTACTAAAGAAAATATTCAGGGCATTTCCCAAACAAAATCTCTTACACTCTGTAAGCTTCAATGTTGGAGAATACAAGTAACTGTATGCCATCAAATCATGACTATATATTGCTATTTGGTAGCTGTTTTATCAGTTGATGCCCAAACATGTCAACACCAACTATGGCCAAGGACTTACTGGATGTGATAACCTTTGCTTGGGGCTAAACAAAGTTTGTTAGAATAGTGTATATAAGAGCTTTCCATGCATTGTGCTACAAGTTAACAAAATGTAGTACTCATAAAGATTAATATTTTACTAATTAGTATGATACATTGTGTTTAGGCATAGTATACCGTATATAGTTTGTGAAATTTGTTAACCAGTGGGTGGGCAGGGAAGGGCCATTCGTGCAGTAAAGGTTGTACTTCCTTGTGCAATATTTTACCATATACCTGATGCAGTTTACAAAAAAATATGACCCCCAAAATGAAATGAAAATTATGAAAAATTTTAAGATTTGTTAAAAAATCACAATCCTAATTATTCTACTCTATCTGCTGCAGTAATCTTTTGATGTGTGATGTGCCAGGTACCTTGGCCTAAAGAAATGTTCCAGCCCTCTCTTGTTCACCCTAAGTGATGAGGGAAAACAATGCATTTGTCAGGCTTGTTTATAAACAATTTTGAAGGGAGCAGCTCCGGGATGTACACAGTTAGGCTGACCTCTCCCTGTGTCACTAAGTCTGAAATAACCTTGACATGGCTGAAGGTCAATCGGTTGGGAGGAACAGGTCAGGGTGTGAAGCCTTGTTGTGGAGGATTTGTGACTTTCCTGGCAATCGAAGTATGTAACAGTGTACTTTGTCAGCCTTCTCATACATTTTTTCTATTCCCAAGTTTTAGCTTCAACTGAGTTGTGATTGAACACACATGGACACTGACCCATATCAGTTCTCTGCTATAACTAAAGTAAACCAGATATGGAACAGTTCCACATGAAAATACTCTTGAATGTTGATGTTAGAAATGACATGTATGTTGACAGACCAACACAAGTGCCAAGTACTAGTAGTTTTTCTCAGTTGCAGTAACCTACCCAAGTTATAATACCTGTACTGTAGAACTTTGACCTGTGTGTTGCCTAGATTGTTTCAGCTTCTTGTTTTCCATGTAAAATGAGTAGTTTCTTTTTCAACATTACGAAGAGTGAGGTTATCCCATTTCATTTCTAGTTGAAAACAACCCCTGACCTACGGTCTCAAAAGGAGTATTGTGTGTGTTTGGATTTAATCAGCAAATAGTCTAACAAGAGGCGTGGTTTGGTTCCAAAGTTCCTTGCCACAGGCCTGTCTGTAACCAATAGATATATGCAGGGTGTCAAACATCTTGTCAGGTGTGATAAGCCACAGGCTGGCCAGAGCAGTGCCAAACAGGACTGTACAGAAGCCACTGCGCTACACAGGGCTGGAAATGTTGTATAGGCACCTAGATATTTGTTAGGGTTACGTGCGTGTACTCTAGGGTATTACATGTGGTGGACACTGGTGTACAGTTTGTGTCAGCATATTCTTGACGTATAACTTATAAGTGTCAGAAATTGCTGTTGTGAGAAAACCTTAATGGTCTCTACTTTAGTTAAAAGGCTTTTCATTACTGCCATAGTTTGGCTCTGTCTACAAAAAATCTGACCAAATGGCTGTCCCAACAAAGCTGTGTAATAAAACGTTACTGCTTGATCCTGTCTGCTTTATTACTGAACACTTCCATCCTGTGTGATGCATTAATGGTGAAATATGGACCGATGATGCCGGGCTAATGATGGTTATTGGAGGGTGGCCCACTTTCACTGATTAGATTTTCTGTGCAGAATGGTTCGCCATCAGTCTCCTGCTTCATCAGCTGCACAATTGCACCCTGGGTAGCTTGACGTGTCACTGACTTGACGTAGTTGTCGTGAGGTTATGTCAAACAGATTTCATGTCAATGTGTGTGATTTTGTATGTGAGACTGAGAGTTTGGCATGAAGTTATGATAAATGCTATGACATTATTATAGCAAATACATGTAAGATGAAGTATTATGTTGTAAATATTATTAATTTATGTCTCATGTATTCAAATATGTTGATAAGGCAAGGTACGTGAGGCATATCACGTCCAACTGTACCTTGTTTTCTGTTTTCTTCTTAACATTGCCGAGATATCAATTCTGACTGCAGATTGAGTTAAGCTTAAGGGGAAAAAGTTGTTTTTTTTTTGAAAAGAATATCAGTAAAACTACATTACACACATAACTTCCTGTATATATTCTATAGCTAATTTTGGAACAAGTAATACTACCTAAAATCTTATTTTTTCTCGATATGCAATATACTAGTATACAACATTACCATTACATACGTACCTACACAAATATCTAGGTGGACACACAATCACAAATTAGTCATAATCAGCTCCAATTGTGGGTGCTCAAAAGTGTATATGTACATGTATCATATGCAGTTTTTCAAGCTCTCTCATGTATTAGTCTATCAATTTGTATTCCAGTATCTGATAAAGAAATGGGTGGTTTGGAAGAATGACAAACCTCTTAATACATCCTTCAGATTGCGACTACACGTCCATCTGTGAGAAGCAGCCCATTGGTCGGGAGCTGTTTCGCCAGTTCTGCAAGAAAGATGACAAGCTAAACAGGTGTATTTGTTTCCTGAACAAAGTGGTGAGTGGTGGTATTGTTTGTTTACTAATTTGTTAGCTTTAGAAATGTGGTATGCTGCACTGTGAAAGTTTTTTACTCTTTAAGGTCTGACCCAGTCACATTCATCATACAATCATCACACGATTGCAAACTAATGACATCCTCACTTGGGATAGTTGTGGGAATGTCGTACAGCTGTCTTGTGAAAGTAAAGGCTGTCGTGTGGGTTGTTGGTTCTGCCACAGCCTGCTTTAAAATTCAACAACAGTAAAATCATACGATGGCCTACAACGAATATGATCACAGCATTATTACATTCTCCCAACAGTGTCCTTTTAGATCAATGTGTTGTTGCAGTTTCTACTTTCCAAAGAGGCAGCAGTGTTCAAACGTTTAGTCCACAGATCGATATCACTCAAATGTCAGTTTGCAAATTGCTGCACCCTTTCTGAATCACGCAATTGGTATCTGGACCTCTCAACATGTGTGCTCTATGATAATATACAAATGTACTTTGGCAGTATTGTACAAGATAGAAGATAAGGAAGTCAATCAGAGATACAGAATTCACCACTTCATCATGCAATGCTGCATTCTGTGCACGCACACACACACGCACACACACACACACACACACACACACACAAGACTTACAGACAAGCCTGAAGCAATGTATGGAGGTTTTCTTTTTCGGTCTGTCTGTCAAATCATGATTACTTTGACTATCATATGCTAAGCACATCTGGAATGCTGACAGGAAGTTAGGCCAAAGGTCCCAGAAAGGTCCTAGAAATTGTTATCTCATTTCCTGTCTTCACTTTCCTGCTGTATGGTCTGGTCTCTAGCCTTATGAGAGCAAATGGGTGATTGCATATACAGAATCGGTAAGAGCAACAAAAACTTAAGATATTTCACATAATATGATTATGAGATTTCTGATGTGTTTTCATAAGCCTTACCTTTGTCTGGCATCTCCCTTCGAGTCCTTCGACCAGGATCTGCCCATGTTGAATTAGAAAGAATTTCAGTAACATGACAAGAATGTCTAAATCCCATTGCATCTGTATACAAGTTTGGCTGTCAGACTGCAACCACAAAACACAAGATTTGGGCCAGATAAAATCTACATTCCTGTGGGAAACGAGGAAAGAAAGTCAAGTTTAAAAACTTCAGATAGGTTAGCCATGAGGCTCTGTAACCTTATGATACAGCCTCCTTTATTTTTGTTAGTAGTGACAGGTGAAAATGTACATGTATTAGTGGAGTAGAAAATGTTTTTATGAATACCTGTGGTCAACAGCAATGTAAATACATTTGTATTGGACACAGGAGTTTATTTCATTGGCAACAAGTTATTTTCTGGATTGATTTTGTTTTCAACAAGACTTCAAAAATAGTGGGTTCTGCTATGACGCTGAAAAGTCTCACATAGGCACTGTGAATGCAGAAACTTTTGTGATGGCTTTGTTTTCACTGTGACCTCTCAACGCGAAATCAGAACACTACAAATATGTGCTATAAGGTTGAACTGTACTATAGAATTGTTTTGAATGCAAACTTCTAAACTTCCATAAACCTCCTTTTCTCTCCTTCCAGGAAATAGGTCCACTGCGAAGTTAAATGCATTAACAGTATCGATCTTATGGCCCGTAATCACTCCCTTTGACCCTGACCTCCCTTAGTGAATCTGATATTGTGATAACATGGACGTGGTGTTGTCAGGTATCTGTGCATCCTAGTCATCCATGTTGTTCAATACGTCTTCTTTCATCCCAGAATGTTTATCTCTAAATTCCATTTATTCATACAATATGGGGTTTTGATATGTTGTCATTTATGTACATGTAGTGCGTTTTTTGAAAAGCACGGAGACGTCACCTGTAAGCTTGACCGTGGTGACATAAAAGCAACAGAAAAATAAAGCATGTTCAACATATGTGTCATTCAAGTTCATTTGTATGTAATTGGAATGCAGAAATGGAATGTTCAACGTTGATGACTGCTATGCTATGTTGGATGTATGAGTATATAATATTTACTTGACTTTAGATAACTATTTTTCTCATAAATAGTCCATAGTTTAAGTTCAACTGTTGTGTTCTTTTGTTAGAATTTAGAACCCTTCCTTTCTCCCATGGTATCTTTGCCCGGATCCACCACGTAATCGATGTGGTAGGTTGTGTGTGTAAAAACACGGGAGGTATTTTTGCCCTGTCCTTTTATTGACCAGAGTAAAGCAGATGTGTTGTATCGTATACAGTGTGCATTCATCCCCTGTAAATATCTTAAGATTGCTTAATTCTTGTTCAACCACTGGTCCTAAAAATAAACCTTTCTAAAGGTTGCTATATTTGCATGAGTGTGTGTGTGTGTGTGTGTCTGTCTGTCCATGTGTGTGTGTGTGCATAAATACATGACTCAAAGAGCCAAGGAGCCAGCCTCTGTAGGTCCTGGCATCCAGGCTAGGATGAACAGGACAATATCTGATGAGATTGACTCAGTTGGCTCATTTTCAATCATCAGTGTCTTGATTGCTGGTTTCTGATGTGTATATCCTTGTATTCCTGTACCCATAATATAACAACACTCTTCTATGGAACATAATACATACCAGCTTTATTTGCAGGTACATGATATCACTAATTGTTCACACAAGAATAACCTGTGTAAAACATCCCCAGGATAACATGACTTCCAGGAACCTTTGAGAACCAGACCAAATTAAAGCTCTGGATGAGGAAACAAGAGTTTGAAAATATGGTTCCTTCTTCAGTAATGATAATGATGATAATGGATGAATTAGAATGTTGATTATAATGGATGAAGAGAAAACACTAGACACAGAGCAGTGTTACATGCAGTATGATGTGACTGAAGGAGGCTACCTACCTACTGTAAATGTATTTATCATTTCTCAGCCTCCATATTCTTGTATAAACTTGTTTATTTATTTGTTTGGATTTACCATTGGACTCAACGGAGGGGAAGACAAAACAGGTGATATAAATGTTTATGTTTCTTGACTTTCTTTCAATCAGAATATGATTTCATGTTTCTTAATCTTATGTCAGGTCCTGGTCTATCCCCTCCACAACACATTAACGATGACAGTGATGCACGCACACACACACACACACACACACCTATACCCAACAATGAATTTGGAGTCCTGGTCATAGCTGCTGAAGGCATGCCATTTCCAAGGCACCACTTCCAATCCCAACATTAGCATGTGGATTGGAAAAATAAACTTGGCCTCGTGCTACATGTAGCAAGCTGCCATATATCGTGACATTAGTGGCTGGCTTCATTTACTGCTTGTTGAAGTCTGGGGCATATACCTGAAGCCAGGCTGGTCAAGGGTCATTAAATGGAATTTCAGGACTGCACTCACTTTAATAGGGATTCCCAATAAAGTTGATGTTCCAGATGAGTTTACAGGCCTTGGCTGTCTTCGTACACACTTAGAAGTAATTTGTTGGGACAGTCTTGGAAACAATTTAGCCCAGGGATTGGCATAGAATGACAATGCTTTGCCATGGACTTACTTACGTATTGTAAATCGTGAAATTACATGTACATGTATTTGCAGGGGTTTTTTCAGTGACCTCTGCTACACTAAGTAACAGTGAAATAAAACCACTGTGAAAGTTTCATGTTTTATAGTAGCCACACTGTGCCATAGAAGCTTCCAAATACAACTTCCATGCTATCTTGTCTAACACATTCCTTGTCTAGCACATTTTTTTACCTCTTTAAAAAATGGAGGTACAGTATACATGTACATGTAATAATTATTGTTTTCAGACTGTTTGTGTGTGTGTGTGTGTGTTTCTGCATATTTGTGGTCAGCATAACTTACAAAGGCCCTTATGGATGATAATTGGTGTGCAGGGACATGTAGGTCCTAGGAAGACAAAGGTCAGTATGAAATTTGGGCCTCCTGGTGGCTGACCTTGGTATTGCAGTATAACTTCTAGTTTTGTATCTTTTGTAGATAATGGAAGAAAAAGACATAATTTACATAATAAATGTAAAAATGCTATGAAATTCATTATTGGTAAATACTTGTGTTAGTTTGAAGTTAACATCAAGTTTGTCCTGAATGTTGCTGACCTGATAACATCTACTAACATAATTCCGCCGAGTCACATGTATCCAGCACCATTGAAAAATGTATCCAAACAGATCTCCAAGGCAACACCCCCCCCCCCAGTATAATGCACTCTGGCAAATGTAAACTGTGCATACCTGCGGGATGCTGTACTAGAGATCTCTCAAACATACTGTTTTTCAAAGTGCCAGATGCATATCATAACCTGGCAACCTAATTGCTTGAAAACATAGTGAGTCCTGATCCTGGAAAGATTTGTCTGTGTCACTCCAAAACAAAATCAGGCACGTAAGTCAACAATTGTGTTGCTTTTGTGTTACGTATGTCGAAGGTTAGATTTTTGGTATGATAGCAACTTTACTTCACAATTCAATTTCTTGTCAATCAAATTGAATTTTCAAACAGAAACAGAATTTAATGTTGCAAGCCTCACAGAGTATGATGTTATATGTGATGAATAGCTTGACTGAGTTTTCATTTTTTGTATTATGTATACCATTCAACAACCAACACCCACCTAACCCCACCCCCTGTTGTTGGCAAACAATGTGATTGATTATATAGCAATAAGAACATTCCAAATACCTTCATTGAAGAAGGGGATTATATTATAGACAAAGGCAACATAAAAATCATTAAAGTTAATTTTCATAAGAAGTACCAATAAACCACACATTTGATAGTTGTTAATGCAAGTGAATAGAAGTATATCAGAGGGCTGTGACTATTTGAATGTGAAACTTGTTGTTAGTAAACATGGCCACGAGTTGGACATGTGCATGCATTGTTTAACTACTTGTGTGGGTGTGCATGTCGGTACAAAATGTATCCGGGAGATCGTCCTGCTCTATGTGTTTCCGACACTTCTGTATTATTGTCCATCCTTCTGTCTCCTAGAAAAAGTGTTTCGGACATCCAATCCTTGCCAAAACCGCCGACCCCAGCCTTTTTTTTTTTTTTCTCTGACATCTGAATTTCAAACCCTCTGAAAGGTTACTTAATGCATTTTCTGAAGCAAATTATTATTGAATAAATATTTGTCCGTTTCTCACAAGCATATGAAGAGAGATATGTAAAAAACATGTAGGTCCTGGACACAGCCCTGGTCCTAATGCATTTCATGACATTCAAAAAAAAAAAAAGAAGAAGAGAATCCATACATACCAGCCTTTTTTTCAGGACTGAAATGGAAAAGAACATTTTTCCCAAGCCTATTGCAGGAGGCACAAATGTCACTCTTGTGTACCCCAGGAATGAATACAACTGTTTCTAATTACTCTAGGCAGATTGCCAAACCTCTAAACTTCTAGAAAGTACCAGCTATATTAAGGATTATATTAAATCTGTATCATAATGCTGAAGATGTATTTCATTACAAGTAAAATAATAATGTTAAACCCGGCAGTGGTCATTTATAATTTAGGACTTTATTACTTTCAGCACGGCATAGCCAAATGGTTTAGCAATCTTACTACTGTAAATTATAAAACTTTTTGCGGTTTTATTTTGTAGGAGGGAAAGGCAGATTTGCACTGTTTTAAATTCACAAGTGAATGATTCTATAGTACAGTAGTCTAACATATACTAGTAATTCGTAGAGAGATCACCACGAAAAGTGCAAAAACCCCCTGCAAAAGTTTCATGATTTACAGTAACAGTTTCTACACATATGACACAGAACTGCTGATAATGATTCTGTCTACTTCACCTTGTTTTCAGGAAGAGTTTGAGGTGACGACAGACGACAACAGAAAAGATGCTGCCCAGATCCTTAGCAAGTTCTTAGAGTCTGAGGTTTGTACTGTATATTTCTGCTGTATCTTAGTCCATGGGCCGAGACCGTTTTTTGTACCACCAAGACGGACCAGTGCTACCATAGATTTTTTTAATCTGCAATAACCAAAGTTTAGTTTGATGTATGATAGCAAGTCTGTATGAGTAGCTTTCTTGGTGTAATCACGTGACCAAGTGACGTCATCAAAATGGACCTCGTGCCTTGGGACGAAATCCAAAGGGCCGGGAAAAAAATATCAAACATCAATAATTCTCGGCGAAAATTGGTTTGTAGACAAAACATGCCACAGTAATCACAACGCAATAGATTTTTTGCCGATATTCTGCATTTTTAGGAAGTTATACGCCTTTAAACTCCGATTTTGAGGGTAATTTTTCGAGTAAAAACACATTGTTTACTTTCCAAAATCAGGCATTTATTCAGGCTACCTATGGGGCCTTGTGTAACAAGTTATGATGATTGGCCATATTATGCGCTGCATTTTGGGCTTTAAATCAACAAAATTGGTCAATGCTATCTGTAGTTACGAGTATTTAAAGCATTGCACCCCATTAGGCTGATTATCAAATCGGCGTGAATATCGCAATGCATCATGGGTAATTTGAAGACAGTGAGACTAACAAAATACGTCCTGTGCCCTGGCATTAAACCCAATTGACCTGAAATTTGGTATGGGCATGCCTTGGACATCTACCCATAGGACGTTGTTAACGTTTATGTCATTAACAACGTGAAATGACTTATTTTTGTACCTTTCAGCTACTTTCCGACCACAAATGGTTAATTTGAGAAGCCTATAAGTTATATACCATTGATGTTAGTTATAAGCAAAC